GCGCTGGAGCGCTAGACGCCGGTGCCGGTCGGGTGCTCAATCAGGTGGCTGCTCTGGGGGTGGAACCCCTGCAGGAGAACTCAATCCCTCGATGTACCAAATTGGTCCAAAGGTGAACAATAAGCGCATGGAGTGCAAGGTGACCTCGTCTAACCCCTGGGTGCGCCCTTCTCTCGAGCACCCTGCAAGGCTGACCTTGAAGTGGCGAGCAAGGGTGATGTAGGGACCCATCAATGTGACATAACGATGGTTTCCCCCCTCTAGCCCTGGCAAAAGAAGTGGTTATGACTGAACCCAGGTGCAGAGTGCTAGACGGGTCCACCATGCAAGAACAAGCCAATAAGATTCTCTCAGTTATCTTATTCGCGTTGTAGTAAGTCGGGTAGAGGGAGCGAGCTAGGAGTGAAACGATGACACGCCACTAGGGTTAGAGTGTAGATGCCATTGTGAGGACCTACCTAAATTTTGTCCTTCGGTACTACGGAAGGCTAAACTTCATAAATGCGGCATTCATGTCGCAACTTTTGATGGCGTTTTCCTCCCAATCGTCCTCATGTTTGGCTTAACCTCATAGGGCTCTGGCTAACGCGACGTAGCTCAAAAAGCGATATTCCCCTCCCAACAGGAAGTGAGGTGCAGGCGAGGAAGGCAAAAACTGGCTGAAAAACAGACCGGAGAGTGGTCGTCGGAGCTTCATCGGAAGCTCGTCAGAGACTTGCAAGTTGCAACCAACTTCATACCCATTCTCCCCACATCAAAACCGGTCTGTGCTGCAATTTTGGGGAGATTTAGGGCAAGTTTTTCCAGCAAGGTCGGCGGCGGCATCGCAATTCACGGTTTTGAGCTTCAGTTCACGGCCATAATGGACCGTGAACTCCCATGGGAAACCGTGAACTACGCCTGGATCACCCTCTTTGCCTGGTCTTCGCCTTCGGGGCTGGTTTCACCTGTTGGATCCTGAAACACACTAAAACGCACAAAACCTAGCGTTAAACCAGCCATTTAGGAGTCCTAATGCTACAAAAGCCCAAGGGAAACAGGGATAAATGTATGCAATTAGACCTGAATCAACCTTCTACCCACTTGCTCATTCGGACCAACGAGCCAAACCGGTGACAACCTTGGTAGCGGTTGTGGTGATGCAAATGAACAGCTCATCTTTTTTTCTATTCTTAAAGTTCACCTAACGAAATATTTCCTATTAACCTATTTAGTTTTAATATTTTAAATCAAGAAAGTTAATTTTTAATTTTGAAGCTAAGGTGACTGCCTTATTTGTGCCATGTCCATGATCAGTCAGACAAAGTTTCAAACAAAGTTTTACTACCGTTTCATTAACCATTAAATATAATGGTCATAAAAATATTTGAGAACAATATTGATATTGTACCCCAAAATCTTGAGACATAATTGTCACAAGGGAAACATTGGGACACACTTGACATAAAACATAAACCTAAGCCTTTTATTGGCATTATGCCTCGGTTTTATAACAAACATACATCTCACTTTTTATGTGAGATTGAAATTTAGAAATTTATATTGAACATTGGCTCATGTATAAGATGATAAATTTGAGTATTTAAATCGACAAATCTAAATGTAAATTAGTACAAGGAAACTTTCTGAACCTCTCTATAGGGTAGGCATGAGTAAAAATTAGAGAAAATTGGACCATTATATGTGTATGTGATAAATGTTAGAATGTGTATCATTTAAGTCGATGAATGAAAATCATTGCTTGAATGTCGATTATTAGTTTGAAATCAACTGTTACTTAGTTACGATCTCATGACCCTATCTCAAGAGACCATAAACGGCTAAATTGCAAGTTTGGTCACTCGAATTGCTACAAAATTTATTGTTTGGTAACTCGAATTGGTTTATTGCATCCGTAGTCACTTAGATTAGGTACACAGTCCAAGTTCAGTCACTCTCCGTTAATGTAACACCCCGAATTTTGGGTTATGGTTCGACCTTTATACGTGATCGGTTGGATTGACGGTTACGTACTAAAAGTTACAATCGCGGATTAAGAATAATAATATTATTATAATGTTATTATTATTTTATATATAAAAAAAATTGTGACCTCGGGGCCAAGCGGCCCCAATGAACAAACCCCTTCCCACCCCATTAAGGGAGGTACTAATTAAAGCCCTAAATTTTTTTAAATTTCCGCCCTAACTTAATAATTTGACCTTTTCACCCTAAAAAATTCTCAATCCCTAAAATTACTTCGCCCTAAACCTAACGCCTTCGCCGCTGCTTCTGGGTAACTGGTCACCGTGCCGTCGGCGCTGCTGCTAGGTAACTGGTCGCGCCGTTGCTGCTGGTCGCTCCCACTGGTCGCCGTCGCTGCTGCTGGTCGCTCCCACTGGTCGTCGTCGCTCCAATCGCCCCAATACCTATCTTCCTAAAACATTTTCGTCGACGCCACAATCGCGCCCCAATCGCGATTTTCCTCTTTCCCCTCTGTCGACGAGCTGCTGCTGGTATCAGGTCGACACCAGAGCCGGAGAGACCCGGGACCGGAATCGCAGATTTTGGGCCGGAAATGCGGTTGGGTACCTCTTTTGCTCTTCGGCGGTGGTCTCTGTAATGCCTTTCGGCTTCAGCTGCGCCGATCCAGAACGCGGAAGAGAGAAAAAATCTCTCCGTTTAAAAAAAAAAGTCTCTGCTGGTCAGCGATACTAGGAGGAAGAAGGGGCCGCCCAGTCGGGTCAAATTGCACGAATTGGTTGAGTCTGGTCTGGTTGGACATTTGGATCTGCTCTATTTGGACAAACAACTAACAAAACCATAAAATAACTAAAATAAAATAATTTAAAAAATAGTTCCTCAAAGGAAAAGGACATTACAATTATTAAATTTGGTTATCTAGAAGCTTAATTAGTAGCAGTAGTCCTTGTTAAAGTAGTATTATGTTTCCTAGTTAGTGTAGGATTTGTTTTTCTATTTCTATAAGGTTAGTTTCATGCTTTTGGAACCTCTATAAATAGAGAGTGTAAGACCTACGAATTTTATAAAACATAATAGAAATCAAGATGTCTAATCAAAGATAATCAAGTTCGATTAAGGATATTTACTTTAGAGATTATTATGAGTAATTCAGTAAGTACTTTGTTTGTTTGTTGTTTGATAGTTCCATTATTGTACCATAATTATTGCTTTTCTTAACCTTATATATCTTTATCATATTTAATTGTAGGGAGATTTTGGCGAGAATGAGGGTGACAATTTTGATTACACATCATTGTTCATAAGCGATGTTGTTTATGATACCCATGTCGAAGCTTGTGCGGCGGCAAAGGAGATTGCCCAAAGAAATAGGTTTTTCTTGGTTGTGGAATCAACCAAGCAAAATTATGGAGAAGACTATCCGCAGATATATATGGATTGCAACCATGGTAAGAGGAGCAAATCATATACCCCAGATTTGGCAAAGACAAGACGCATATCAAAATCAGGCAAGCAAGGTTGTCAGTTCCGAGTGGTAGTGCGGAGTTCATTGGTAGATTGCAAATGTAAGTGGAGAATTTTGGGTGTTACGGACAGATATGGGAAGCCAAAGGGATTTCACAATCACAAATTGGAAGTTTATGCTGAAGGAAGCAAGCAAAGGAATGCTCTTTCAAATGAGGAAAAGATTGAAATTAAGGAGTTGGAGGCAACACATAATACTCAGGCGAAAGATATAAGAAGTTTTATAAATAGGAAGTTTGATGCTCATCACAACATGGATCAGGTTTATAATGAGACAGCAAAGATTAGGCGTGAGAGATTGGGTGGTCTTTCGCCTATGCGGTGGACATTTATAGAAGCTGACCGTCTTGGCTACTTCATTGGAGTTGATTTTGATGAAGACCGTCGTGTTACTAGACTCTTCCTTTCCCATCCGGAGTCTATTAAGATGTTGAGAGCATGGTATTTTGTTATTTTGATAGACTCGACGTACAAGACCAACAAGTATAAGCAACCACTGGTTCAGTTGATTGGTGTTAGTTCGGTGAAGAAGAACTTCAACATAGGGTTCGCATTGGTTTCAGATGAGACAAAGGAGACATATGCTTGGGTATTGTCGCAATTGAAGAATGTTCTTGGTGGTCGAAGACCAGATGCGTTCGTCACCAATAAGGAGGGCGGGTTGGGTGTATCCGTGCGTGAGATCTTTCCATCTTCAGCTCATTTACTATGTGTGTGGCACATGAAGAAGAACATTGAAGCCAAGATGATGTCTCTCGGGATAAGTCGAGAATCTGCAGAGGCGTTTGTAGCAGGGCCTTGGCAGACACTCATGAATGCCAACACTCAGGGAGAGTTCCAGCGACGGTGGGTAGACTTGCATACTAGTGATTGGGGTAAAAACCCACGCTTCATGAACTACTTGAGGGGTGAGTGGATACCATGTGCGCAAAGGTGGGCTCATTGCTACACCAATCGTATTTTCCATATTGGTAACACGAGCACAAACAGGGTAGAGTCAGCTCATTCGTCCTTGAAGAAATGGCTTGCCAGTTCGACCCACAAGATGGACACACTCTTTCTCAGATATCACACATCCATTGAGGGAAAAGTGACTGAACTAAGAAAGGACTTAGAGGATTCGCGTTTGAAGGTATTTTCATTTTTTCTTCAATGGTGTTGATATTCCTCCGTATACTCAATTTGATTTTGACTTAGAAGTTCGTTCTTTGAAATAGTTATTTAAATTAGCTGACGGTCCTCCATATGGTCACTGGAATATGGAAGTAAGCTTGTGGGCAATTGAGTTGTTGATGAAAGAACGAGCAAGAGAAATTGTTCAGCGATGTGGATGTCGGCTACATTAGACACATGGTTTGCCATATAAATGTAAGATGGATGCACTTAGTGATGCCGGGATGGAGTTACACCCTCACCACTTGCATCGATTCTGGTCATCTTTGGTGTATGAGAGTCCTCCTGATGGTGCAAAATGGGAGGACCATTATGCCACTGAGCGTGGAATTTTTGCAGCCATGGTGGAGGATGTGTACAGGCAAGGACCAGCTGCTGTCCGGAAGGCATCTCAATTACTACTCCCTCATATTCGTCCACAAGTTGCAGGCCTGTTAGAGGCTAGAGAGTCAGAGGATCCAAAGGGACGACCACCAAAGAGGTCGAACACTAGAGATCCTTCTTGGTTTGAGCATGAGAGGACACGATCGGCAAAGAGGAGCAAAACAAATGAGAACACGAGAAAGACACACAAGACGACTCCTGCAGGTTAGCAAAATTCTTATCTTTTTGGTGTAATCATACTCCTTGGTATGTAGCCGTTTACAGTAGTTATTTTTTGTACCAACAGGAGGTGTCTCGAAAAGTCAGCATATGCAAGTCCACAATGAGAGAAATGTTTTTCCTTATCTCCGCTATATTCCACTTAGCGTCCGCCCTCTTCTTAGAGGTTGGTTTGACCCAAAACCAGACGGGCAATGTGGTTTTCGAGCCATGTCACATGTGATTTATGGAGATGAGGAACACTACTTACAAATGAGGCAAAATCTTGTCACAGAAATCAATGATCATTGGCCTATCTATGAGGGGGTTTATCTTTACAGAGATGGATCGTTGGAGGCAGCACGTCATAGGCTAGATCGTTGGACTGCTGGGAGTTGCACACGAGAGTATTGGTTTGAGGAGGTGGATTTGCTGACATTCGCAACCATATACAACTGTTCAATTGTTGTTTATGGACTGTATAATGAACGAACCACGTATGGGTACACAGTCTTACCTTTGACGGCGCCGGAAGGGGTCACTCAACCTAGTCAAGTTATAACTCTTGTTTTTACTGGGGGCACATTGGGTGCGACTATATTTTGGCGAAGTTGATGGGGTCACACCAATACCTCATTTTAGTCCACAGTGGTCTCACTTTTGGGATATGCTAAGAATTGCTTATTGGGATTTTTTATACGAGGCAGGGCGACAATTGTATGTCGATCTCGGAGGACATCATCCAGCCAATGACGATGACAAGAGTGATTAAACATTGTTGCATTATTTTTTTTAAGATTGAACATTATGTCGAATTATGGATTTACCTTTGTGTGATTATCAAGTGATTATTATTTTATATTCTTACATATAAAGAGGATTGTAATTATCCATTTTTGGATGGAATCATATTCTCTTGAAGCCCTACTTATAGATATTATTTATTATTATTATACAATTTAAGCACTGATTATAGCAATTCATCACCAATCATATAAATTCATCTCTAATAACAAATGTAGATTAGTTGTAAAATGTAAATCACACTATTTAAAAATTAAATGTAAATCTCAATGATTGTACGTTAATTATAAAACACAATATTGATTATAAAACCAATCAATTATACATAACTAATTAATTATAACACAATATTTAAATGTTGTACATTAGTTATATATATACCAATAAAATCATCACTCATAATAATAATAATTGTAGCTGTCCTGCAATTCCATGCATAAAATCATCACTGATAATAATAATTGTACATTCTAATCACTTATTCAAACAACCAAACCAAACCGCATAGTCCTGCAGCCAACCAGACTCGCGACCCGACCAGCAACCAGACCCGCGACCCGACCAGCAACCACCAGCAACCAGACGCGCGATTCCTCGATCCTTCTTCCTCCTCCTTCATCGATCGCGGTTCCTGCTCGGCGCGGCGGTTCCTTCTTCCTCCTCCAAAAACCATGGACCGACAGACGATTGAACCGGTGGGGCGGAGTGCTCAGCGCGACGGTTCCATCTTCGTCGGAGTGCTCAGCGCGATTCCTCGATCCGTCTTCTTCCTCCTCCTTCCTCGATCGTGATTCCTGCTCGGCGCGACGGTTCCTTCTTCCTCCCAATAGTAGCAGAGACGGCCGGCGTGGCGGGATTCGTTTCTCTCTTCTGCGTCCTCACTTGGTGGAGTGGCAATCCTGGCGGCGGAGACGGGGCGGAGCGAACAGACGAGACGGGGCAGAGCAGCCGCGCAATTTTCGTCAGCTGCCGGTCAATTAAATGAGCAGGATTTTAGGGATTAGGGCGGCGCCGGTCATCGCAAATTAGGGATGCGATGGTTTGGGAATAGGGCGGCGAATGGCTAATAGGGGTAATATTGTCTGTTTGGTTAAATTAGGGCGTAAAAATTTAAAAAGTTAGGGCGTTAAATAGGAATCCAACCCCATTAATCCCCCACGCAATCATGGAAACCAAACCCTCGACCCCCATTGAAAAATCCAAAGCCCCGCCAGCATTCTCCAAACCCGCCCTAGTAATAATTCCAAAACCCCAGCAAAAATAATTCCTCAAAGCCGACCCTCTCCTTTATCCCCACCGCCACTTTGTTTGTCCAAGGTAAAACCCAAAATCCCACGCAGCCGCGAGTAACCCAGCCCGCGCGGGCGAGAAGAGAAGAAGAAGGGTTGGTTCCGGCTCCCGATCTCGATCCCGATCCCGGTCCCGATTTCCCAGCTCGTCCCTTTCGTGTTTCTAGTTAAGGATCAGGAACCCCTTCGCGATTTCTAAACTCGATTTATCGATAGTCTAATCCGAAGCTCGTGTTTTATTAGCGGTGACGTTGAGGGTTCGATCAACAAGGAGATCAACGTCCCGGGTCATCCAACCTAGGCCTAGGCACGTTCTAGAGGTAAGAAAACTCGATCCCTTTGAGTTAGGTTGATCGATTTGGTGGTTTTTCGTGAGGATAGAATTCTGGGGTTTTAGCAACAGGCTTTACAGACTTTTAGTGACAGATTTTGATTGGTCACTAAAGCTGCTGGGAATTTCCAGAAGCGTATTTTTATATGTTTTAAATTGTTTCGAGCCTCTCTGAAGGTTGTTTTCTTAATTTAACAATTTTATAAATTGAAAGACGTCTAGGATATGATTTTAATTTAATTTGGGGATTTTTGGAGATGTATTTCTATTTTTAGAAATTGTTCTAAGATTCGTTTTAATTAAATAAAAATATTTTCGAGGGGTTTTTAAGGGTTTGATAATTTTCCAGGGTATAGGGTCTTGATTGACATGGGAAAATTATTATCTGAATTTTTAAGAGGGTTCTAGTTAGGTGGAAAATTCGTCCAAGATAAAGATAATTAAGAAAAATGTTCGTTTTTGAAGGGATTAATTCTAGAAAATTTTAATGGGGTTAATTGACCCTTGGAATGAGGTTCAAGGACTGGGGTTTGAGGAGAGGATGTTCTAGTAATTCAAAAGGGGTTTTAAATCAAGAAAGGTCGTCTAGGAAAATTGATTCTTATTAATAGGTTTCCCCAAGATAATCCGACTAAGGAGGGGTTTCTTCGAGGAAGGAATTGAGGAGGCATCGTTTCGAGGTGGGTGTAAAGGGGGTAAAATCTTTGTCGTAGGTCTTTTAGTTTCCGCTTTTCGTTCAAGTTATTTTTTTAGTTAATTTGCTAGTATGCGCGATATGTGTGTGAGGCATCCCACCACTTGTAAGGGTGGAGGCACGCGTTGTGCTATGTATGAATGTATTGATGTATGATTGTAAGAGTTGGATTGATGGTATGAGGAACCCCCGGGCGGTTGGGTCACTACTGGACGACGAGACGTAACGCAGTAGTTGACGGGCATGGACTGGATTACGAGACGTAACGCAGTGCCATTGCCGAGTTTGGATATGCAACCGGACGGCGAGACGTAACGCGGTTGGCATACTAGGGTAGGACACCGGACGGCGAGACGTAACGCGGTGGTCCTAGTGTTTTGTGTTGAGATAAGGATAGAGGTCGAGAACTTTTATGAGTTAATGTTGAAATGAGTTGATAAGAATGGTTATTTAAGAGCAGAAAGCGAGAACGTCTTTCATACTAGGAAGGCATTCCCCTAATAACGTGTTTAGTAAGGAGTTGGCCTAGGGAAAAGACCTTAGGGAGTAACGACGAGACTGGCCCCTTCTCACTCACCAGGTGCATTGAGGGGAAGAGGACGCATCCATCAATAGGAGATTACCCGAGGAGAGCAGCCGCGGCTAACCTGAAGATGTCAACTGGATCTGTGTAACGAGATGGGACCTCCCATTATATTTGTCTTTAGTTTCATGTCTTAATGAGTATACTGGGAAACTCGAGGATTGTGTTTTATGTTTTGTTGCTCTGGATTGAGGTCGCTCAAGTGTTTAGGTCATTTCACTTGAAAATCTTAAGCGTTGTGGTTGTTGATTTTTGGTTTTGACTGGTAAACCGTTTTGGGTTGCTCCGGAGTAATCGGTTTGTGGTTTGAGTCGTGGTTTGGTTTTCAAAAAGGGTCGAGGTGTTTCAGTTAACCTCCATTAGACTCCATTAACGAAGGTCGTTAAGTGATGATGTGGCTAACGGAAAGTCCCAATCAACATAATTTGACCCTAAAAATCGACGACCCGACACATCACTTTTGCCTGCCATGTCATAAGAATCTAACCTAACCCCTAACCCGACCCTCATGACTTGACCGACCTAACCTCCCATAATCATTCCCAATTTCCTCATCCCTTTCTCTCTAACCCCCTCATCCCCGAGCTCTACAACAGAGACCCAATGGCGGCCCCATAATCTGACATCAGATCCAGTGGATTCAGAGGCGGCATCACCGCTGATCCTCCTATCCTGGTTGATGCGACGATGAACTTGACTTCATTGCCCCCGGAATCCCCGCCACACACTTCCACGAGGAGTGAAGACTCAGCAGCAGAGCCATCGGCGCCGTCACCGCCGTCAATCGATTCACCATCAGCGCAATGATCCTCTTAACTTGCTCTCCTTCTCCCTCTCCACCAACACCCCGAAGAAACCAACTCCTGCCGCTCCACCACTACTCTTCGGCGACTCAATTTCTCACTCTCCACTGTTACTCACCTCAGTTTCGTCTGGGTTCTAAAGAAAGCCTGCCATCGGGATGCAACTCGACCATCGCCGCTTCAGCTTCATCTGGGTTCTAGAGAGACCCTGCCATTATCATGAAACCTCACCAAAATCACTGGCTTCCGGATTAGATCCCAACCATCACCTCTGTAGCGGTAGATCAGTACTGGGTTTTTCGCGTCCAACGTCAGGTCCCGAAATGGGGAAGAAGATATCGATGGAAGAGAGTTGTAGATGAAGGGTTTCAGCGATGGCGGCGCGCAAGTGGGGAAGAAGATGTCTAGTGGTGGCGACGATTAAGAGGGGAATGATGAGGTATTTGTATTTGCTTGTGATGCTTCTCAATTGGGTATTGGGATTTTTTTGTTCTGCTTTTGCTTTTTGCTTCTTCTGCTTGTCATCGACAATGGGAGTCGAGATCTGAGAGTGCTATTCAAAAAGATGAGGCTTATTTGTGGGTATGTTTAGATGTGGGGATGCAAATAAAGTTCTTCAAATTACATCGATGGGGTGAATCGGCTATTCGACCGGCGACGTGTTCAGTCGTGGAGCCGATTTCGAGGGAGACGTCGTGTGACATTCGACGAATTCAAATCTTGAGCTCGTGTTGGATGAGAATCACATTAAGGGGATAATGAGGGATGGAATCCGTGGATAGCACCTGAGGACGAGGATTCGGAGAAGAAGAACGACGATGCCAGATCTAGGAAGCAGTTGCGGAGAAGTTCTGTCCCTTTGTTTGATTTGCATGATTGTGAACTCCGGCGACAGTATGAGAGGTTGAAGAACATAGACGATAGACATATAAAAAATGGAGAGGGGTCGATTCTCAGGTTGGTTCTCGGGTTGGTTCGCGGGGCGGATAGGGAAGGCTGACATGGCGGGCAAAAGTGATGTGGCGGGGTCGGGTCGTCGATTTTTTGGGTCAAATTATGTTGACTGGGACTTTCTGTTAGCCACGTCATTACTTAACGGCCTCCATTAACGGAGTCTGACGGAGGTTAACGGAGAGTGACTGAACTTGGACTGTGTACCTAATCTAAGTGACTACGGATGAAATAAACCAATTCGAGTGACCAAACATGAAATTTTGTAGAAATTCAAGTGACCAAACTTGCAATTTAGCCGATCATAAACATATACTTCAAATTGAATTGCTAAAATATAAATAATTAAAGGGTTGATACCCTAATTTGGCCCGAAATTAGCCTTAATGACAGTTCTGACCCCATTTTTCAAATAATACATTTATTGCCCACTTTTGAAATTATTGGACAAATTTGACCCAAAATTTATGTTGACAGTTAAAACCGATGGTCAACCATTCTCACTGTTAATGACTCAGAAAAAACTATTTATATGGCTGATGTATGTTACCACATCATTAAATAATAATTTATATTAACTTATTTAATTATGTGGAAAAAATTGAAAACAAAATAAAACAAATCAACATATAAAAAACACAAGTCAAAGACCCAGGTCAAAATCCCTAATTTTCTTTTCCTATCTCTTAACTCACGGCAGACAATCCAAAATGTCCAACAATTCTCCACCATCAACAACCGCTCTCCCCTCTCCGGCAACAGAGCTTCTGGATTCACTCTTCTCCGACGGCCGTGTATCTATCAACGACGACGGTCTAGCGGGAAGCTACAAGCAACGAGGATCTTCCTCCTCCTCCTCCTCCGATGGCCGTACAAGGAGAATGCTCTGTCGTCGCTGCCGTTAGATCTAATTTCCGATCTCAAGCAGCCGTCTCCTTCTCCCTCACTCCGCTCTTTGCATCGTCGTTGAAGGAGGAAGAAAGGAACATATGAAGGAGAGAACAGAGTAAGGAACCACCGGTCTGCGTTCCCCTGATGCAACTCGACATTTCCCCATACGTATTTGCAATCACCGCCGACGTCGCCCATCAAGCTCGACCTTTGATGCATTCCTTACGCGCTCTCCTTCCTCGTCGCATCGCTGTCCTTGCCGCCATCAAGCTGGTGGGTGTCGTGGCGACCTCGGGGGTTCGAACGGGGAGGAGTTCGTCAACTAGGGGTAGGAATAAAAGAATGAGAGAGATGTGGATCGCCGAGAAACAACAAATAACACTCATACATATGACATAAAAATCATACGACTATTGTGGAGGTGGTAGAAAACCCGACTTCCTCCTAAACTCGGGCCACATGTTCGCAAATCCATGACATAAGTCGTAGTACTCGTTGGTGCTAGCCATCCACTCCTCCCTACTACCCTGTGCAGCATCCATCACGGGAGATATCTCAATCCACATCTCGCGTGACAACTGTAAACAAAAACCATACAATTTAAATACATATTAGTTGCAATCAAACAAAATTTTACTTAATACAAATAATTTCAAATATGATCATACTAACCGTATCAGCATCCGTGATGTCTTGACGAGGTCGGCTGTCACTCAGTATCTGTGGGTGCGAGTGCCTAATGTACCACCCCATGTAATCCTCAGCAAACTCCCATGGCCTACGTCGTACCGGAGTAGAATAAAGGTCCAGATGCACACTATGCGCCCCCAAGTTGTTCCACCACGAATCATAAACAGACTGGTAGCTAAGAGAGTATCCAAGCGTGGAAGCAGGTCGACGCACAACAAGCGGACGCTCCGGCGGATACGGTACACTCTGCACGTAGCCTAACTGTTGGAGGCACCTAGTGGGATCATATGGCTCTACTATCTCTTCAAATCTGAGCAGGCCCTGATACAAGGTACGTCTCACCGTCAGATAAGGACTCTGACCATACGGAGTCCAACAAACTGACTGAGGGGTCAAACAATCAATCGCCTGCCGATAATAAGCCAGCATCTGTGCATCCCTCTTCTTCGTCGACTGGGGTGCTGTACCGCGCCACCTGAATGCTCTTGCTTGCCCCTGCTCCAGCTCTCATGGCTCCAACCGACTAGGCCTCAAGGTAGGAAAGTGGTCGTAAATCCAACACTGTAGTAAAGTCAGACAACCCGCCACTCCCTTAGCCTCCGCCCGGGAGGCAATACCAAGCTGCCTGTACAGATAAGCAAGTGCTCCTGCCCCCCACGCGTACTCTCCTAGCATATCCGGCCTCTTCACAAACAGGTTGGCAGCAGCAGAAACGCCGTCCTTACTCTTATCTACGAACATTGTGGACCCAAGTAGCAAAAGAAGGTAACACTGAGCCTCTCTAGCTGGCGGACCAGACTGCTGCAAATGAGTCAAAGCTCCCACACCCAACAAACCAAATCCTCTGTACCACCTAGACAGACTGGCAACCTCGCCAACCTGCGCCCCGTACTCAGAATCATCACGATCTAATCCCAGTAGTGCTCGAATGTCAGTCTCCAGTGCCCACTTCTCCAACTGCCTCGGATCCACTACCATCGGCTCTCCCTCAACCGCAAGCCCAAGAATGTGTTCCACGTCATGAAGGAGGATCGTCATCTCTCCAAACAGCATGTGGAAGGTGTTGGTATCCGGCTGCCACCTCTCCACAAATGCCGAGATGAGAGCAGGGTCCAGCTCACTCTGGAAGGTGATATCAACGAGGTGATCAAGGCCCGATGTCTCTACGGTAGTCCTAGCGTTATTATCTGCTATCACATAACCGTCGAGAACGTGGAGAAGGGTCGAACTCCTGTCGTAGCAAGTGATCACCCCTCTATCAGCCTCTCCAGTGTACAGACGGTGGGCAACATGCCCAAGAAAGCTTCGGAGCAAACTCGGGTCGCTCGGCCCTCCAGGACACGGTCCTCTAGGCTCCCAGACCTCTCCCATATCAGCAGTACCACTCTGGCCCTCACCAGGCTATGGAGCTCTATAGAAACGCCCCGCATGGTCTCTATAGATCCCAGTAACAGCATGAACCCTAGTAACGACATGTGACAATCCGCTGGGGGCACCTCTGTCTCTGATCAGACTGACTGGTGGAATGCGATACTCAATAGCATCCGACTCATACTCCTCCGACTCGTCATCAATCTCGTCTGAAGGCTCAAACGGTGAAGCATGATCACGATTGGGACCAGCTCAACTACCAGCCATACTAGGCATCTGAAAATAAAACTGAGGAAAACCGTCGGACCTCAAACTCATCGGTGTCACTAGTGGCTGTGGCTCATCTCTATCATTTGGGTCCCTATTTCTCGCACTAGCGCTAATGGGGCACCCAATGAATCTTCTCAATTTCTTTGCAACTCCTCCAGAACTACGTGATCCTCCAAAATTACCAGGTGACGCCATCTCTAAACATAGTCAATAATTTTCTATTAATATCTTATAATAAATTATTTGTTGAGCAATTACTTGTTGTTTCATAGAGTAATTATGATACATACAATTTGTTATCTAATTAGTTTAACTAGATAGTTATTTTACTTAATACGATAGGTAGTTATTTAAATATTTATTTCAGCTTACTCAATTACTTAACTAAAACATCATAGATAATTAATTAAAATTAACAATTATTTACAATTTATTTAATCCAATAATTATTTAGATAATCATTATAATAAATTATCTATTAGCATGGTCAATAATTATCTATTAATATCTTATATTAAATTATTTGATTAGAAATTTGTTCATAGTCATAATTTATCAATTACTAATTATGATACATACAACTTGGTTATCTAATTAATTTAACTAGATAGTAACTTTACTCAATACGATAAATAGTTATTTAAATAATTATTTCAACTTAACCAATTAATAAACTAACACATTATATAATTAATAATTATATACTAATTATATAATCAACAATTATATACTAATTATTCAACCAACGTTTATATACTAATCATTCAACTATCAATATTAAACTAATTAAGTTACTAACAATTGAATTTAAAATAAATTAAATAAATATTTCATTAAACCGAATTAGTCAAACCCAATCCGATCGGTCTGACTAGGCCCAATCAACCCGGTCCGACCAGTACCAGCAGACCCGGTCCGACTAGACCAGCGGACCCGGTCCGACCGGGTGAGGCGGACGACGTCCGACCGTACTTAGCGGACTGCGTCCGACCAGGGGAGGCGGACCGCGTCCGCTCCGGCCAGTCGGACCTCGTCCGACCAGGGGAGGCGGACGGCGTCCGCTCCAGCTAGTCGGACCGTGTGAAGACAAAATAAAAATAAAAAGTTTACCTGGAGCGAGCTTAGGAGGTCGGCGGCGGCGAGATCGGCCAAGGGAGACTCGGCGGCGACGACTTCTGGGCTCGACGGCAAGATGGGGAGGTCGGACGGCGCTGTTGTGGTCTGGGCCCTCGACGGCGGCAGCTTCTGGGCTCGACGGCGGCGGCTTCTAATCGGCAGGAGGGAGGAGTGGTCGGCGCCGGCGACGGATTGACAGGAGAGAGGAGATGTCGGCGGTGGCGGATTGGCGACAGGGTTGTGGTTGGCGGCACAGCTTGGGAGGGGGTTGGGAGGTGAAAGGTTGAGGGTAGATAGGGTTAGGGTTTTAAAATAGACCATGAGCAAAATTGTCTTATTTTTTGTAACTATGGGCGGCAAATAGTAAAACTACCGACGAAAAATAACAATTCATAAACTGAAAAGTGAAATAACTCTAATAATTCAGCCTTTCCTCCACTATCTCACAACCCTTCACTGACCTTTTTTTTTTGTCTTCGTCCTCCAATAATATATAGTACACTTTTGTGTACTTTTCTCCATTTCAAATTTCGTGCAATGAGAGTGAAAGTAGGAAGGATATTTTTGTCTTTACAATTAATTATTTATCTCACATAAAAAATATCAACATTAGGATTTGAACTCGGGTCTCTTCAAACAAAGACAACAATCACAACCATTTACACTAAACAAATTTGTTGTGTCTTTTTTAATACAAAATATACACGAAGTTCAACTCTCTGAAAATCGCAGGACTTTCCATCATGATTAGCAAGCCCACTAAGTATACCGTATGTATTTTTATGGTGCTTGATACTTCAATTTTCATTGTAGAGTTTCATGTACTTTCTCAATTTTAAAATTATTTCTCTCTCTTTAATTTTTGCTAAAGGTAAATTGGTAATTGGCTAACATGGAAAAAACTAATTTTGTCACTACGTGTTGTGTCCTTGCAATTTTCAATTTAAATTTTGTGGTTTTTATCTTTGTTCTTATCTCTTTCTAACTTCCTAAAAAATTCCCTCCATCGTACAATAGTTTGCACCCTTTTCACTTCCTAGTACAAGGCCTCCTTTGAAAATTAATCATCTGGTATCTTTTGGCACGTCGGTTTTATTGTTGGGTTTTAAGTTGGGCAAGTAAAAGAGTTTTATAAATAATGGAGTTGCAGAAGGAGGATTAGAAATTGAAATTTTGGTTGAAATATATATCTCTTGAGATAAAAATTTGGTTGTACAACGAAGAGTGGTGGCTATTGGATCTTTATATTTATGGTTTTTATATCTATCACATCCTATTTCTATCTTAAAACGAGAAATCATTGATTGATTTATTGAAGTAGGTCGATTCTTTATTCAACCTACCGGAACTGATAAACCAGGAGTGTTTAATTTTGTGTCTTATTACTTTGATTGAGTCTATTAGTATGTTGGAGATAACCCTAATTTTGTCGTTTGCTCTCAAGTTTTGATGGTCCCCTCTTAGCTGAGTTGTTAGTATATAGTTGACTTGAATCAACAACTCTCGATTTCTTTTTGATTAGTGGCATATTGTTCATAAAAGGAGCGCATTAAACCCTTATGTAGGATTGTGAGGTTTAAGATTTAGTTTCAAACTATCTATGAGTCGTGTCGAATTTCACTGAGCTTTTATACTCTCTTTCTTGACATTCAACTAATCAATAGCATTTTAATAAGGGCTTAATTATCATTATGAAAATGGAATTATTGATAAATTATATTTTTTTCTTAAATGATATGATAGTTCTCCGGATATTAGACATATATATTCTTTCTTTATGTCTCAATCGAAGAACTGTCAATAAAATTAAACCGGTTGATTAGCTTAAACGTAACATAAAAATATAAATAATTAAATATGAATATTCCGTCCAATGGGCCGGGTTATAAGCTAGTTTTAAAAAGAAGGCCAACCCCCATCAAGAGGAAAGGGCTCAATCAAGCCTCTTCTCTGCTGCTGCTGGCTTCCTTCCTCCTCCGCCGTACCCCTCCTATCTCTCTCTCCCCGGTCGCCCGCCGTTGACCACCAAACCCTAGAGATCTGTTCACTTCAGGCCTCAATTCCACCAATTCGAGGTTAGATCTCCCATCTTCGCCCTCTCTCGGGTCCCTCCAGACATCATTTCTAGGGTTTTTGTCCGCCCACCCGCTCCCAGTTCTGTAGCTGTGAGAGAGGGGCGCTTACTTTGTCTCCCATGTCTTGGCTGTGATTAACGCTTCTGTTTTTCCAGATCTGGTGAATCGAGGGCTGCTCCGTCGAGGTCAAAAAAAGCTTTACCTTTTTAACCCTCCTCGCCGACGTTGGGCTGATGAGAGCGAGCGAAGCGAAGTTCAGGATCTTCTTTTCTCGAGAAGGGTTGTGTTACTTGATGGTTGGTTTCATCTCAGATCTGGGCTGGGTTGGATTGGTTGCTTTTCGTTCTGGGATTTAGTTCTGTGATTGGTTTTGGGTAGGGTTTGAGTTTAGTTCGGGATGTCTATCTTGGCGAAAGGCGAGTCGATTCATATTCGAGAGGTGTGGAATGACAATCTGGAAGAGGAGTTTGCTTTGATTCGTGATGTTGTTGATCAGTACAGCTTCGTTGCTATGGATACGGAGTTTCCCGGTGTGGTGCTCCGCCCTGTGGGCACTTTCAAGAACATCAATGACTATAACTACCAGACTTTGAAGGATAATGTTGATATGTTGAAACTGATCCAGCTGGGGCTCACTTTCTCCGATGAGAACGGGAACTTGCCCACATGTGGGACGGATCAGCTGTGCATTTGGCAGTTCAATTTCCGGGAGTTCAATGTCGGTGAGGACATCTATGCTAGCGACTCCATTGAGTTGCTGAGGCAGTGCGGGATTGATTTCAAGAAGAACAATGAGAAGGGTATTGATGTGAGCCGGTTCGGTGAGCTTCTGATGTCGTCGGGGATTGTGTTGAACGAAGGTGTGCACTGGGTCACTTTCCACAGTGGGTATGATTTCGGGTACTTGCTCAAGCTCTTGACTTGCAGGAGCCTGCCCGAGACGCAAGCTGGATTCTTCGACCTGATCAATATGTACTTCCCCATGGTGTATGACATCAAGCACCTGATGAAGTTCTGTAACAGTCTTCACGGTGGCTTGAACAAGCTGGCCGAGTTGTTGGAGGTCGAGAGAATTGGTGTGTGCCATCAGGCTGGCTCCGATAGCTTGCTCACATCCTGCACTTTCAGGAAATTGAGGGACAACTTCTTCAATGGCTCAACAGAGAAGTATGCTGGTGTGTTGTATGGTCTTGGCGTTGAGAATGGCCAAAATACTAATTGAAAGATTGAGTAATTGTGTGAAACAAGATTTGAAGAAAATATTTGTAGACTACCTCCTGGGGTTGTGTGACTTTGGTAATTCTCTTTTGTATACTTTTGGTAAAAGAGAGTGTTGTTTCTAGTAGTGACTTTCTTTGTAACCAAAACCTTGACCGGGTTTTGTAGCTTGGGTTTTCCTTTGTAAATTATTGCAGTCAGCTAGTGGTTTTCAACTTTCAATAAGAACCTAGTAGTTCCTTGCAAGCTTAATTCCGATGATGATTTTGACTATGTAATCTATAGATATGCTTAATATGTTCGTATCATCAAGTGGGGTGAACTGTAATTCTCTGAAGCTATAGAAATTTCATCTTCATTCATCTCTTTGGCATGATCCCCAACCTTTCTGTATGTATCTGTATACTTGGCTAGAGTGTAGAAATCTAAACTGTATATAAACAAATTCGTTTGAATCAATCCTTCTGGCACTTTTGCATTTGATTCCAGCTCATGTTTTTAGCCGTCAGTATGTCGATTTCGAATTGAGACCAAGGTTAGAGCACAAGAATGCAGGATCAAGAAAGACAGATGGTTTGTAAGAAGTTCATGCACCCTACAAACCCTTTCAACTGCACAGACTAACCCGTTTGTGAAGATATGCATGTATGAACACAGTGTTGTACATTCTGGGTAATAGGGAAGGCTCTTGTTGTGTGAGGCAACACAATTGTATCCAGGAATGTCTGTTTTTAGAAGACTCAAACACATTTTGTATAGTCGACTGTAATGGGGTAAATTCCCAAAATATTGTTTTTTTTTTTCATTTACCACCAATATGGTGGTTTTAAGTATATTTACACAAATATTGTGTTTTTGTGGGAAAAGGTTCGCGGGAGACTTAAATTTAGTGGTTTGAAAAGCGGATCCAAAGTGGACTATTGCGGACCCGCACCAGACTCATGCGGACTCGCATAAACAAAAAGGCCGAGCCAGTCTCGTGCGTCTTCTACCCCCATCCTCTCTCGTCCGCAGCGACGCCACAAACATCCCCCCCCCCCCCACCATCGCCAAAACCCACCATCGACACCCACCAGCGTCGACCGCCACAAATCCCCCCACTCTCACGCGGGTTCAACCCGTATTCCTGGGGAAACGCCTTCGTCGACGCAGAAAAGGCCGAGAGTCACGCGGAAGCGTAGGAGAGAAGAGGCGGACGAAGAAAACCATATCTGTGTTTTCTGGTTTTGATGTCGGGCTCCGACGAAGAACAGGCGACCGCCGGAGGAAGAGGTCGTGGAAGAGGACGACATGCACACGGCCGGTACCGAGGTGAGCAATTCACCGGTCGGAAGCTCGCTGCCGGCGGCCGGAATCTCACCACCGACGGGTTTTTTTCCTGCTTTTTTTCCATTTCCTAGGATTCTTGACACTTATTCCACGAGACGACCGCCTGCGACGATTGATACAGCTCCGGTCGATTCAGTATTCCTTTGGGCACATGGTCAACATCGTGCCGACTCACTTTGGCAAAACGAGGTAAGTATTTTATTTCATTAAAGTTCATTAGCTAGTTAGATTAGAATTTTGTGAAATTAATATTAGTTTGATTAGATATATTTTACTAAATTAGATTGATTTTACTAGGTGAATTGAAATATTATAATTGCAGGTTAATTGCATGGTTGGTCACTGAGATTACAAAAAACGTTCAAGTTTGGTCACTCAAAATATTTAAATCCATTGGTGGTACTTCTATTTACTGAAACGGTGAAACCGTTCACGTTTGGTCACTCTCCGTCCAACTCCGTTAACTTGCTGATGTGGCAGTCAACTCTCAAAGTTGACCGTTAATGTAGTGACGTGGCCACTAAAAATTATTAAAAATAAAAGGGCTAATACCACTACAACATCACCAGCCGGAAGACAAACGGGGCTAAATTTCTAGACGAACATCACCAGCCGGAAAACATCGCGAAGAAAAGGCGGTCGCTAAATTTCTAGATTGTGCGGGAAGACAACCGGGGCTTACAGATCGAGCACAGCAAAAGGAGCGAGTGATTCGCGCCGAAAATGGGATGGGTGTGGAAGGACGACGATGAATCGGAAGAATTCAAGTCTTCGTCCTCCGCCGGCGAAATTGAAGCCTACAAGAAGCAGGCGTCCGATGAGGTTTGCTCGACGAGGAAAGTGGTGAGGTCGAACTGCAAGACGGAGGAGGTGGAGCCCGAAAAGTTTCTCCGCAAGTGCGAGAAGACCGAGGAGGTTCTCAGAGAGTTCCTTGGAAAGTAATTTCTCTTCTCCTCCTTGTTCCGGATCCAAGACGAACATCACCAGCCGCCACTGCGAAGGTGCCATTGACGATGATGTATATGAGGTCAAGTTTTGGCCCGGCCTCAAGGCTCGCCAGCAAGATCAATGCTGACGAATTCGATGAGGCAGCAACGTCTCACAGTGGCGACGCGGCGGAGTGGGGTCTCAACCCAGATCTGGTGATAGATCTTGATTCTCATGGATTCGATTTTTCAACGAAAGAGAACCGATGTCGGAGGAGGAAGGAGAAAGATCGATTCTCTCCAATTGGAATAAGAAACCCGCCTCCGCCGATAAAGTTTCGCGAGTCTTCTTGGTTGAACGATGCCTTTGCTGAATCTCTAAATCGGGGGAAGGATGGGGATTGGGGAGAGACAGATCTAAGATGGAGACGGATTGGTGGCGGAGGCGAAACAGTGGTGATGGAGAAGGAAAGGGAGGATTGCTTGAAGGAGGTTCTGGGGGGGTGGCGGATTGAGTCGGTAAGAGGAAGAGGCGGAGCAAGCTCGGGATTGGGAAGATAGATTAGGAATTTTTAATTTTTAATTTTTTGATTTTTTAATTGTTATTTAATTATTTAAAAATTCCACGTCAGATGCCACATTAGTGCTGACTAGATTTTTTGTTAAAAACTAACGGTCAACAAAAGTCAACACTAACGGAATCATAGTTCAGGACACAAATGGAATATTGGAAACAATAGAACACAAGTGGCATTTTCGCGATAGTTCGGGTGTTGTAGTGGTATTAGCCCAAAATAAAAATAAACTTTTATATTTTCCACCTCATTATTACATTCATTAAAAAATAAAAAAAATAAAAAACCTAATTTCTTTTTGCCCTTCCACCTCCGAACCGTCCGCTTCCTTATAATTCCCTTCATCGAAATCGCCAACCACCACCTCGTCGCTCCCGCCGCCACCGTCAATCTCCACAAATCCCTCGCTCTACAATCCCTCCCGCCACGTATTTACGATCCTTCCCTCTTTTCTCCCCACAACTTGCCATAACTCCTTCCTATCCCTGAAATGCCCTCCCGTCGTCGCGCTATCTACGCCGCCGGGACGGACTGATACCATTGAGACTTTCTTGGCCTTGTCGACGATGATGGTGGTTGAGCAGAGTGACATTGCGTGGTCGCTGGAGAGAAGTTCTGACCGGACTGAGTACGAGCGCCGCAAAGTTGAGGATGCTGAGGAAGTCGGATCTCGCTGTCGGTCGTCGTCTTGTGCTACTGGATCTGTCTATGGTCAAAGACGACGATGCAGTTGAGAGGCGAAACCGGCGGCTTCTGCCGTGGTGCCGAGGACTGACCGGTGCTCTATTGAAGCTGGCGTGTGCGCCGAGGCGGTCGACGATGATGCGGTGCCGCGAGGCGTTGTGAAGGGAGGACGGCGACGGGCTGTTGGTCGCCAACGGATTGTCACCGGGATAGTTCAGATCTGCCGGCTGGAGAGAGGTTGGGGTTTAGATGGAGAGAATTAGTGAACACTGGCTCGCAGGCTTCAGATGATTGGGAAAGTTGTCTTTGCTGGATTTGGGGATTTTCTTGTTGTATGTGTTCTAGGCGAGATGAGGAGACGAAGTGAAGGACTTGTAAAGTTTGGTTTTTTTTTTTGGAGGATGGGGAAGGATTTGGGAAATCAAATATGGATCTTGACCTGATCTTTTATGAAGTAAAATAAAAAACGACTCTCGACCCCAAGATCGAATAAACTGATAAAGAGGTGGTAATAAGTCATATAGAATCAATCGATTCATGGTACAATCCCCATGATACATTTTTTAGCTTGGTTAAGGGAAACCCACCGGAGACGTAGCGAAAGCGAGTCTTCTTAGGGCAATCGTCACTGCTTATGGACCCGAACCTGGGTGATCTATCCATGACCAGGATGAAGCTTGGGTGAAACTAAGTGGAGGTCCCGCCCGTAACCCAACAGATCAACAGATAAAGTACATTACATAGTCCGTTTTAGGGATTGGCGACTTACCCATTCATAGAGATCTGTTGGCATTCCAGCCTTACTTCTCCTTTCAGGGCCTATCCGAAAGAGGATCGATTCCTTAAAAGATGAGATCAGAAAATGAAATTTACCGAAATTCAATCGTTGTGCGATCGTCAATATTTGACCAAGGGTTTCTTTAAAGTTGCCCGTTTAAAGTTGCCCGAATCAGTATAGCTATCCTCTGGGTTCTTTTGGTACCTAGTTTTTTTTTTTAAGATTTGATTATAACGATTTGATAGGGAACAGATGGATTAAAGAACACAGGTTGTAAATGACTGGTGGGTTTTACTGAATGTAATAATGAGGTAGAAAATATAAAAGTTTATTTTTTTATTTTTAATAATTTTTAGTTGCCACGTCATTAAGTTAATGGTCAACTTTGAGAGTTGACTGCCACATCAGCAAAAATTAACGGAGTTGGACGGAGAGTGACCAAACGTGAACGGTTTCGGTAAACTGAAGTACCACAAATGAATTTAAATATTTCAAGTGACCAAACTTGAACGTTTTTTGTAATCTCAGTGACCAACCATGCAATTAACCCTATAATTGCATGTGAAATTTTGTGAAACTAGTATTAGTTTTGATTATATATCTTTTTCTAAATTAGATAGATTTGACTAGGTCAACTGAAATATACTCAAACCTGGAGGTCAACTGAAATATTAAAATTGCATGTGAAATTTTGTGAAATTATTATTAGTTTTCCTTATGTATATTTTACTAAACTAGATAGATTTTACAATATGTTCTGAAAATAGAATTACGCCATGAAATTGAATTAATATAAGTTTTGTGCACCATAGACTGGTGATCGTGTTTACCAGACTCGAGGTACGACCAATTTGGTCACGTACCATCCATGTTATGAGCCGTATCTCCAGGATACGGTTTGTTTAGCGTTCAGCAGTTGGTCCCTATGAATGGTAGTATAGATGCATCTTTGATCACTGCTCTTGTAGAGCGTTGGCGTCCTAAGACATCGACCTTCCACATGTCGGTCGGTGAGGTTACGATCACTCTTGAGGACGTTGTCACACTGAGCGGTCTACCGATCGACGGTGAGGCCGTCATAGTAGACGTACCAAATCGAGAGTGGTCGGAGACGTGTGTCAGACTGTTAGGACATACTCCTAACAATCTTAGCGGGGGTGTCGTTAGTATTAGTTGGCTTAGGGAGCATTTCAACAATATGCCGCCAAATGCATCATCAGAGATTACAGGGCAGTTTGCATGAGCGTATGCCCTATCTTTGATGGGGTGTATGTTGTTCCCCGATCGGACTGGAGCTACAGTTCATCTGCAGTATCTACTCCTATTGGAGAATTGGTGGAGCGCTGGAGGCTACGCTTGGGGAGCAGCTGTTCTAGCCTACCTGTACCATGAGATGGGTAGGTCGGTTCTGCATATGATGCAGTCCTCTTCCAACGTCTCAACATCTAAACCGCACCATCCAAGGACAATTGTCATCCTTATGCTTCAAGCATCTAACCTTCCATATTGAAGGTGACAACTCCACCACGCCATACTAAAAGTTGCGTTGTAGTGCGTGGTGTTTAACCACCACCTGTGCAGCTTGTTTCGAGTGAAATATCTGACCCAGAATTCCCCTTCAAAACCAGTAACAATAGGCATTGGAATTACCCCATATGAATCAACATATGATAATTCATCATCCTCTTCAGCAGCCTGCAAGTAAAAATATGGAGGAAAGTTAGGCTGCTCTTCTTCCCCATCTTCCTCCTCCTCCTCCTCCTCCTCCTCCTCGTCGTCGTCGTCATAATCATGGTCAGATGGCACACTCCATGTATCATCTTCACCCTGATTAGCCTGGCTAATCTCAACATGTACCTCAGCACCCAAACAATAGGGATTTTGTGCCATAAAATCGAAAAGCACATTCAAACCATCATCATCCACAATAGGCATCGCATAATGAAATAGAACACCATTCTGTCATTCTGGAAGACGGTAAGTGAAACATGTGATCATATCACTATCTGGTACAGCTTCGTCTTTACGTCGTATTCTCGGGATTAGATTCTCACAAAATTGATGATATGTCACCCGACATGGAACTGTCAAATGAAACCTTCTACCACCAGCGAAATGAACGCCGAAATTGTCCTCTACTTTCTCCGATTTCCACCAAACAATTAGTTCATATTTCCTAAAATCACTACATAACAAACAAATTCACTAATTACTAACTAAAGAAAATTATAATAGCATTTTAATAATATAATTACAAAAATAAATGTGTCTCTTACATAGCCATCTCCGAGCAACCAATAGAGCTCCTCCCTCTCGTTTTTGTATAAGTTTTTGGTGTGGTGAAAGGAGGAGAATGGAGGAAGATATATATGCTGGAGTGGGGTAAAACACAACCTCGAATCCGCATTAGTCTCATACGGGTCCGCTGGTCAAAGTTTAGTGAATCTGTCAGCAGACTTTAAAAAGAGACCCGCGTCTCCGGACCAGTCCCATGCGAGCCCACTCATTTTACGTCAAAATACAAATGTAGTGGGTCCGTGTCAGTCTGATGCGAATTCACCCTTCTTCCCCCACAAAAACACAATATCTGTGTAAATATACTTAAAACCACCATATTGGTGGTAAATAAAAAAACAATATTTTGAGAATTTACCCACTGTAATGACATAGCGAGAAGTCATGATAGTAGATTTGATTTCTTTCATCCAAGACAACTTAACAACAAGATATCTGAATGATTATAATTGGAGTGAATCATTGGTTAAGAAACTAATCATAGAGTAAATCATGTCGAATCTAAACTCGAGCTTTTCAAAGAATTACTATGCATAATTTATGCATGATTAGATATATAAGTGTATATCTCTGTTTTAAAAAAAATTCACTAATTACTAACTAAAGAAAATTATAATAGCATTTTAATAATATAATTACAAAAAAAATGTGTCTCTTACCTAGCCATCTTCGAGCAATCAGCAGAGCTCCTCCCTCTCGTTTTCGTATAAGTTTTTGGTGTGGTGAAAGGAGGAGAATGGAAAAAGATATATATGCTGGAGTGGGGTAAAACACAACCCCGAATCCACAATAGTCTCATGCGGGTCCGCTGGTCAAAGTTTAGTGAATCTGTCAGCAGACTTTAAAAAGAGACCCGCGTCTCCGCACCAGTCCCACGCGAGCCCGCTCAGTTTACGTCAAAATACAAATGTAGCGGGTTCGCGTCAGTCTGATGCGAATTCACCCATCTTCCCCCACAAAACACAATATCTGTGTAAATATACTTAAAACCACCATATTGGTGGTAAATAAAAAAAGCAATATTTTGAGAATTTACCCACTGTAATGACATAGCGAGAAGTCATGATAGTAGATTTGATTTCTTTCATCCAAGACAACTTAACAACAAGATATCTGAATGATTATAATTGGAGTGAATCATCGGTTAAGAAAATAATCATAGAGTAAATCATGTTGAATCTGAACTCGAGCTTTTCAAAGAATTGTTATGCATAATTTATGCATGATTAGATATATAAGTGTATATCTAAGTTTTTAAAAAAAATCATAAAGACCAAAAATAAAATAAAGGAAATTACATTCATATTAATTCCATTTTTGTTTTATTTATGATATTACTTCCAATTTTGATTTTCTCTATGATGGAAATCCCAATTGAGTTATTAGTATTATAATTATAAATTCTACTAAATGCCTACTGGTATTTGCAAAGAAACGTTGGAAAGTTAATTAGAGCCTTTATTACAGTTTCGTCATTAAAATTTTAACAGAGACCAATAGAAGAGCATCAATATACTTTGTCTAACCATATGATCATTCAAATATAAAGAAAAACTATATGGTCCTTATAAGTTTGTCATTGAAGCATGTTCATACCCTATAAAATTTTGGTGTGCTCAAAACGTGAATTGGAGTGAGATGTTGTAATCGAGGTGCATAAGCATTATGGGTAGAGATGAAGTTGCTATAATGACACAATTTAGAGTTCGAGGTGCATTAACATGCAACGACATCAAAATTTTGAGGATGATTTACAAACTTCGGGCCTAGCTGTTCAACTTTGTTTCCTGTTTGGGTTTCTTTGGTTTGGAGTTTCATACTTTTGGATTGTATTAACTATGAGTATGACTTTAATATTATTATTTTTATTTGGATCGATTTTGGTAAGTTCAACTATGATATATAATCGTTTCATTGAAGAGGTAATGACTTTTTCGAAATTACTAAACGAACTTTCGAAATCATGCTCCATGGGTATGTGAATATAAATATTTTATCCTATAAAAGGGTCGCTATTGCTTTTTGTGACGAGCGCTTGAGGATCTTAACCCGACCAAATTATTAGGTTCTCAAGGTATAAGCTATGAGATCTCCCTTGACATATTGGATCCAAGCCTGAAGCCTGTACAGGGCATTCAATGAGGTTAAAATAAATAATTTTGTCCGTTTCCAACGTGTAAACTATGGGATCTCCCTTGTTAGATCGATCCATCCCATTGAGATCCTGGTTTTCTTCTTCTAATGTACATAAATGTTTGTAGGCACACATTTAGAGTAGAATTAAACACTGTAGACGAACGTGACAATTTCAATAAACTTACATCTTGTATACAAATTTAATTACAAGCTTGGAAACGATCTAACAAGAAATTGATCGATATGAATTAAACACTATAGACGAACGTGTCTAACCATATGATCATTCATGTTCTGTTTCAGAGTGAGGAGATTCTACAAGATGTTTAATTATTATTTTTTCTCCTTGTTTTCACAAACGTTTTAGTTTTAGAATTCGATTGCAATTTGCAAGTTCAAATCAGTTTTACCAGCATCAAACTGAACATACATTGAAAATTAGGACATCTAAAATGATTTTATCTTAGCCAAGTTAACCTCCACATACATAATAAACAGAAAATTCCCGAAAATGTGAGGAAGTCTGGTACTACCCTTCTGAAAACAGGAGCTGCCCTTCACAAGACAAAGTGCATTTCTGTAAATACATTAATGGAAATCGGTAATTTACATTTTCTGCCATAAATACCAACGATCTGTAAATAATATATAAACAAAACCTGGCCTGCATTTTTCTATTTTCACATCAGGTTTTACAATTTTCTGTCGGCTTCCTCCCGAGTGATCCAGTCCAAGCCCGAGGAAAAGTGAAAAAGGAATATCAGAAGAGAGAAAACAGGACCTCCGATTTCGGGTCTCGGGGATCCATAATCAGATCCGGAAAATCTCTTCCGGTTCGCTGCGGTAAAATTCCGTCTTCTTCTCCTATCTTCTGTCTCGCTTCCTGTCTTTCTTCCAGTCCATTTTGTCAATTCGTCGAGACCAAAAATTCTCGCTGTGCACTTCTGTTGTACTCTCTCTCTCTCTCTCTCGCTCTCTGCGCGCCGTTACTGGTGGCTGGCGAAGCTCCGCAGTGGAACTGTGTAAGCGTGCATTCCAGGTCTCATTCTCTTTTTGCATTTCCCCCCTTGTTTTACCGTTTCCCGCGAAGAATTCCGGTAATGGAGTTTTTGACTCGTTGCACTGGTCGTTGTCTGTCTCTCTCTTGTGGGGGTTTTCTTCTATAATGCTCTGGCGGGAGGGTGCTCGCTTTCTACAGACTCGATTGTTCTTAATTCCCGAGCGTCTCTAAATTGTTTCGTGGGAGATGAGGCATTGTTTCTGGACAGTCACAATTCAGTTGAATTGGCATGGTGATGGCGTCTTCTTCTCACGCCGCTGTTGTTTTGCCTGAGCATTTCCCGCTTCGCCATGGGCTTGGGAATTTCTTCTGGCTGCAGCTCGCGTTTTGTTTTCCTAAATAGGGCAGCGAAAGGGGAACATTATAACGCTAGCATTACTTTTGTTGGGGTTTTTTTTACTCCTTCCCTTTTTATGTTTGGATGGTGAATGTGCATCGAATGGTATCAATGTATGTGGTTGTTTGACTGAGTAGTCCAATTGTAGAAGAAGGCAGATTTTCTAGGGTATATGGTGATGCAAGAACTCAAGATACTGTTAGCAAGGGTTTTTAGCTAATCATTGATTACGTTGTCTAAACTGTAAAGTGAGTATCGATTTGGACCGCGCTCAAAGCGCAGCACTATTTAAATTCATCGATCCTCGGTAGTCGTTAAAAGATAAAGGAATGGACTGCGCTCAATGCATAGTGCTATTTGACTTCATCGATCATTGACTAGTCTCTAAAAGAACGATGATTGGACTGCTCCGGAGGCACATTACTATTTAAATTCATCGATCATCGTCTAATCTTTATAAGAACGAGGATTGTCTTTCCTTTGTTAGCTCTTTGAAGTTATTTGCCGTTACGTTCTGTTGGGAACTTCTTGTGGCTTCTGTATGTTTTGGTGTTTTATGTAGATTCTATATGTCTTGCAGAATATGAGTAGCTTGGTTGAGAGGCTAAGAGCCCGATCTGAGCGGAGGCCAATATATAACTTAGACGAGTCAGACGATGAAGCTGATTTTGTGGCGAGAAAAGGTGGTAAACCGCAGGAAGAAATCGAGAGGATAGTCCGACCTGATACGGTTTGTTTATTATTGTTTTTTCGTGTTATCCTGCTTCACTATTGTGTATATGCTTGTTTTGTTCGTATGTTCTTATTATAGTCCTTAAATTATGTTTTGTCTATTGATAGTTAAATGTAGCGCCTCTGTACCTATGGCTTAGAGTGGAAGTTTTCCCCCCGATGAAAAGCTTATAGTGGAAGTTGCTTAAGTTGAAGTGTCGTTTTCGACTATTTCGTATTTTATTGCATAGATAAATACATTCTGTTGTTTCCCCTATGTTAAATCAAGATGCTTGTAATACGTACTTAGGTTTTCATGTCATTTTTAGCAGAGGACACCTGCTTTACTTTTACCGTGAATGGAACAGGCCTGAAAGGGGATTGGTTAAATTTATGCGCTGCTGCTTCTTGAATCTGTCCAAGGACTTTGTGGTTTCAGCCAGTGAACTACTACCTTGATTAGTAGATTGATCTGGGCAGATTTTACTGGACTCGTAAATTCGTTTCCTCTACAAGTGCAGTGAGCTATTGGTTTTCATTCTTTATGGGATGCAGGATTAGCTAGTTATATACTAGGTTAAAGCAGTTGCTCATTTAGGCTGGAAAATATATATATGTCACGTTTCTTTGAACCAATGAAGATTTTGGTCAAAATGCTTGCTGCAAAGAAACAAAGGAACTTTGAGCTTAATGAAGTTTCACATTCTTTTCGCTAGTGTTTTTTGATCACTCAAAATTTTATGCCTATGCTGATACCTTTAATTGAATAGGAATAATATTGTACTTCATGAAGTCAAGATGCTTAACTCTATAACTACGAACTCTTGGTTGGTCACATTCTGACATGAATGTAATGTATCTCAGATAATCATCCGTGATAGGGTGATGCCTGAAGTAAACCTATGGTGGTTATATTATTTATTTACAAATCTACAATAACATGATACTTAAATTTAGATGTTCTTCTCCGTCTTTTGATCTTTTCTCCATCTTTGATGCAGAAAGATGATCAATGTCAAGCATGTGGAGAAAGTGGGGAGCTCGTGAACTGCGAAACCTGCAGTTATGCTTACCATGCTAGGTGTCTTCTTCCACCTCTTAAAGCTCCTCCTTCCAGCAGTTGGAGGTGTCCTGAATGTGTATGAAGCTAATTCATCCATTGAAGTGTATTTGTATCAGCTGAAGTGGTACTTCCAGCTTATGAGTTTTATTCTTATATATGCAGGTCAGTCCTCTGAATGATATTGAGAAGATATTGGACAGCGAAATGCGTCCTACTGCAGCTGACGGTGATGATGCGTCTAAGCTCGGGTCTAACCAAATATTTGTTAAGCAGTATTTGGTTAAATGGAAGGGATTGTCATATCTTCACTGCACTTGGTAGTTATATACTTATGTGGCACCTTCCTTTTGACAACATCCCAACTGTTTTAAGTACTTTTATTCTGCTCAAATTCAGACCCATGATATGGCTGTTTTCACTTGTGCATAACATGTTTTGCTTTTGTTTGTCAATTTCAGTATCTGTATTATCAGATATTGTTACTGGCATATTCTATTATCTCCTTTTCTTTATACTCTTTTCTACCTTTCATCTTGTTCGTTCTCTTCCCCTTGCTGTCCATGTCCACATAGGATCCCTGAGAAAGAGTTTGTGAAGGCATTCAAGTCAAATCCTCGTCTTAGGACCAAAGTAAACAACTTCCATCGACAGACGACGTCATCCAATTCTGAGGATGAATCTGCAATCAGGCCAGAGTGGACTACAGTTGATCGCATTCTTGCTTGCAGGTGCAGGCACTATTAAAGTTCTAATGCATGTTAGGCCTGTATATCTATGCAACTATTTGATTAAGCACAGCCTCTGGTATCTGTCTATAAGTACTTTGTGTATGAACTAACTTACGGTATCTAAATCATTTGGGTATTGTAAATGTGTTTTGAAGTTCTTAGTTCTTTCATCACTTGAAATCTTTTTATGTTAAATTATTCTGCAAATATTTGGAGACCTTTGATTTTTTTAATGACAAGTATACTGAGCAATGATTCTGTGTCGTAACTACAGTTGGAACAGTTCAGATGTTCTTCCAACATTAGCTATGCTTCCGGTTCCGGGTCAGCATTTTGAAACCACAATAGTGGTGCATTATCTAAGGACCGTTATGTTACAGAAAAGCTCTGTCTTATCAGAAAAAATTATGGCGGTAGTGTCTTGGTTTTGAAGCGTGGTTCTATGTGACTGACTTTGTTACTATGTGATACAAATGTTGCAGGGGCGAGGATGATGAAAAGGAATATCTAGTGAAGTATAAAGAACTTCCTTATGATGAATGTTACTGGGAATTTGAATCAGATATATCTGCATTTCAGCCAGAAATAGAGAAGTTCAATACAATTCAGTCTAGGCCAAATCGGCTGGCTAGGCAAAAGAGTTTCCGTGATGCTACTGATGCGAAGAAGAAATTGAAAGAATTTCATCAGTATGAACAAAGCCCTGAATTTCTTGCAGGAGGAGGTACATCTTGCTTATGCTTATCATCTGCAGTTTTAATATGTCATGATATTTAATGATCGTGAGTCCTCACTTCTTTGATTTATCTTGAAGGCTCCTTGCATCCATATCAACTTGAAGGTTTAAATTTCCTGCGGTTTTCTTTTTCCAAGCAGACGCATGTCATTCTTGCTGACGAGATGGGTCTAGGTGAGCATTGACAATTGTTTTTAAAGCTTTTTAACATTAACAGGAAAATCGTTAGCTGTGTGTCTTGGTAGATGGTCTAGGCATTTCTCATTAGTTTTGGTTGTTTGTTGCATTTGTTTCTTAGGGAAAACTATACAAAGTATTGCTTTTCTTGCATCTCTTTTCGAAGAGAATGTGTACCCCCATTTAGTGGTTGCTCCGCTTTCCACATTGAGAAACTGGGAACGTGAATTTGCAACATGGGCACCTCAAATGAATGTCGTAAGTGCGAACAGTTTTATGTTACATATGACTTTATCAGCCAAATAAAACTAGTAAGCCAAGTATCTTTTATGCAGGTTATGTATGTTGGTTCTGGTCAAGCTCGTGGTGTTATTAGGGAATATGAATTTTACTACCCTAAGAATCCCAAGAAGATCAAGAAAAAGAAATCTGGTCAATTTGTTAAAGAAAGCAAGCAAGATAGGATAAAATTCGACGTGCTCTTGACTTCCTATGAGATGATTAACTTGGATACAGCATCGTTAAGGCCCATTAGATGGGAGTGCATGGTAAGAGCTACTGCTCAATTTTTATGTTGCTACTGTCTTCTGTTATCACTAGTCCATCTTCCTGTCTTATGTAGATCGTTGATGAAGGTCATCGCCTAAAAAACAAGGATTCAAAACTCTTTCTTTCATTGAAGCAATATTCTAGTAATCACCGCACGCTGTTGACGGGAACCCCTCTCCAGGTTTGTTCAATGGTCAATGATCATAGCTCTGGGTAGTAAGGATGCTAAGGCTATTGCTTCTTTGCCCGATAACCAAGTCTGTATGTTCTGCATTAATAAACCAAATATCTGCATTGTGAATCGACATGGAAACTGGAAGTTGTAGTCCTAGGATGTTTATTTTTTGCGAAAGAGGATTTGTTCCAAAAATTAGTTGTGGGACTTGGATTCTTCAAATTGGTCAATTTTAATTCCAGTGTTGGTCCTGCATAATACTTTCTTCTTCTCTATAATGCTTTTGATTGTTTGGTGAGTGCTAGATTAGTAAATATTGGTGAATTTATGTTCAGGTAGTTTTTAGTTTTCTCAGCTAGTGCTCTTTTTGGGTGGTTAAAGAGCATGGTTGGTATCTTTTCATGGTTTTTATTTATTTATGTTAGGGTCTGATGTCTATCTTTGATCCTTCTGATTTTTTTTTGTACAAATCTTCTAGTTATTTGCTTCAACGTCTATTTTTTGACATTTGGGTGTATATGTGCTAAAAATGTAGCTGAAACATAGTGGTTTAGTACTCAGATACCTCGTCCTTCTAATGTCTACCACTGATTCCTCTTTCTACAGAACAATCTGGATGAGCTCTTCATGCTCATGCACTTCCTCGATGCTGGAAAAGTAAGTGTTCTGGCAGCTTTATGAATGTCATGTTTAGCTCTGACAGGAGCCAGCAAAGATACGAATCATTATTTTCTGTTACTTTTATGTATGAATGTATCTAGTTTGCAAGTTTGGAGGAGTTCCAAGAAGAGTTCAAGGATATAAATCAGGAGGAACAGATTTCTCGACTTCATAAAATGTTGGCTCCTCACCTCCTAAGAAGTAATAGCTCTTTTACTTTCCAGTTTCTCCCTGCTATAGACCACATGGTTGTTTCAGATAATCTTTCTTGTGTTTCCTTAGCTCTGCAGTATCTTGAGACCATAACTGTTTTTTTTTTACTTCCACAAGGACATAATTTCATTAACTTTTAATTCCTCTTTTGGTGCAAACATATACAGAATTCCAAATTTTTTACTGTGCTGAACACATTCTGATCTAGCGTATACACCATATATACTTATGTTGCAGAAGTGCGTATCTCAATGTATCGCTGTTTTCTTCAGTTGATGGTAATTTAAGGTTGTTTTCTTGTTCGAACAATGCCATCACCATTATTTGCTGGCAAATAAAACACGGTCTACATTGCCAAGCACCTTCATATTATGGTGTAATTGGGAAAAAAATAAAATAAAAGCATGTTAGCATGTCATTGTCAAGTTTGAGATATTAAAATGGATAAGCTAACTTATTGGTCTTTTTGATTCTGGTTGACTGACTGCATTTCTTATAGTTGCTAAATAATTGGAATTCCCAAGAGAATAACTTCGTTGCGAGAGAAGGGAATTTTGTCCTCCTTTCGAGTGGCAAATTCCTCCTTGGACTTTAATTGATGCTGTCATGCTCTTAACTTTGCTATTTTCTTGTTCGATCTTTGCATGGTCCTTTTTGCATAGTAAATGTCATCGAGGAGGTTCAGACTATTGATTGGTTGTCATGTCACTTAGACTGATCTGGAATTTTGGGGATGCTGTAGGAGTGAAGAAGGATGTGATGACTGAGTTACCTCCTAAAAAGGAACTCATTCTTCGGGTTGAGCTCAGCAGCATGCAAAAGGAATATTACAAGGCAATTCTAACTCGTAATTACCAAATTCTAACTCGGCGTGGTGGTCCACAGGTATTTTCAGATTGCTGACCGAAAACTGTTCCATTGTCATTTTAAGGTAACATTTGATTCTGATTTGAGGTTACTTGATCAGATTTCACTTATCAATGTGGTTATGGAACTGCGGAAGCTCTGCTGCCATCCTTATATGTTGGAAGGAGTCGAACCGGCAATAGAAGATCCCGATGAATCTTTCAGGTACTTGAGTATTATACAGATTTATGTAACTGTGCGTATGAGAGCATGTGTGTGTGTGATATCTGGATTTATCAGTCTACTTTATGTTTTGTATCTGAATTCCCTTTGAACATCATTTATTTTTGTTCAATATTTTAATAGCTTTGACTGGGATTTCCTAGCTTGTCAGTACATTATGAGGTGCAATAGAACAGGCCTGATACTCTGTGATCCGTAGTCTGATTGTCCTCTGGATAGATATGAAGGATATAATTTGGCCATCTTAAAGCTTTGGTTTTACCCACGGTCTACTTTTCAGTGAGCAACCCCGAGCTCAGCTTTAGGATGGACCAACCTTTTTCACTAATTCTTATCTTACTAGTTTTTTTTTGTGGGGCGGGGGAGGGAGTAAATGGATCATTATCTCACTGTAATTTTTCCTCCTAATCAAACCAAACCAAACCAAACCAAACCAAACCAAACCAAACACCGGCAAGGATATTATATTTTCATTTGTAAATGTTAACAAATTGTTTTTTCGTGATTCTTACTGCTTGAAGGGTTTCTTCTATGTTCTAGCTATGAACGTTCAAAGTCCTTGTTCTGCTTCTAAAATAAAGTAGTGTTTCTACTGCATGATTCATTGCATTCATGTCATGATCGATTTGACAGGCAATTTCTGGATTCATCTGGAAAGTTGCAATTGCTTGACAAAATGATGGTGAAGCTGAAAGAGCAAGGGCATAGAGTTCTGATTTATTCTCAGTTTCAGCACATGCTGGACTTACTTGAGGATTACTGTCTCCATAAGGTGTGCTTTTTTATTGAGTTGCTCGGTGAAGCATGCTATATTTTTGGAAATTTGCTTATTCTGATACTTGCACACAGGGCAACACACAATTTAATCTAGTATGACGAATTAATAGTATTTTTTGTCATACCTGTTTGTATGGTTAGAAATGGCTATATGAACGAATTGACGGGAAAGTTGGTGGAGCTGAGAGGCAGATTCGCATAGATCGGTTTAATGCAAAAAATTCTTCAAGATTCTGTTTCCTTCTCTCTACTAGAGCTGGAGGACTGGGAATAAACCTTGCAACAGCTGATACAGTTATCATATATGACAGGTAACATGTTGGTATCCTTTATTGGTGTTTCTGTAGAATAAGCTTTAACTTCTTAACTCAATACAGAGCCTACTTCCGACATGGCTGCTTGATTAGAGCAGAGCATCTATGGGTTTATTTTCTAATTTAAGCTGGTGGAATGGTTCGCATCTAGGGAGAACGCATCACTGCGATACATTTACTGAGCTTCTACAGAGTTCAACCTGCAGGGCGTTTAAAGTTGGTCTTTGAGTGTGATTATGTTGAAGTTAGCTTAGATGTTGGGTGCATTTAGTAGGTTTCTCCGCACCTTAAAGTGCATGTTTTTTTTGTCAAATTTTAAGTCTTTTCCTCTTAGGTAGTTGATAGATTTATTTTCTTTGTTCTTTTGGAGTGAAAGCTTGGGTACGGTATCTTTTCATATGGTTTTACGTCTTACCTAGCTCTGTACGGTCTTGCCTAGTTACCTGTTTTAAGTGAAAACTTCAATGCTAAGGTGAATTTTGAATATGAAAAAACTGGTGTTTGTGGCATTCTGTTCTTTTGTTTTCGGGTGGTTCTCAAATGGGTGAATATATGTATGCTTGTTTTATCTTAATAGTGATTGGAATCCACATGCTGACCTCCAAGCAATGGCTAGAGCTCATCGACTTGGCCAAACCAACAAGGTCAGACTGTTGTTCGATGTTGATAGTGTGGAAAGTTATATTCATTTGTGGTTGCTGGTATGATTGTTGGTTTGGTGGTACAGGTGATGATTTATAGACTCATAACACGTGGAAGTATTGAGGAGCGCATGATGCAACTGACTAAGAAGAAAATGGTTTTAGAGCATCTTGTTGTTGGGAGGTTGAAGGCTCAAAATATTAATCAGGTACATTCTAGTTTCTTAAACCAGTGCTTTTTGGCTAAAGGCACTAATATATTGAGTTGTAAAGGCAAACTGATATGGGCAAGTTCGCTCATCATGAAGGGTGTTGCTGTAATCAATGAGTTGTTTTTCCTTATCTGAGGGGTTTCTTGTTACTTATTTGGAGAGGCAGCCTTCAAAGCACTACTATTTGCAAAAGGGGATCCCATCTTTGATATATCTATTTGCACTAGCAAGTCTAGGCCCCTCAGTTTTGGTACAAGATCTACAGGTTCTATGTGGTTTTAGCTGAGATCTCCAACAATGGTGACCAATGTGAAGTTGAGGTATTTATAAAAGGAAATGTGGTTCTGATTCTCAGCTGCATAGTTTCGAAGAGTTAAAAATCCAGATTTTTTCAATCCTTGAAAAAGGCTGAATATCATGACAACCCTAGAAACTAGACTGACTAGTATAGACTTTAAGAGTGGATAATTTCACCGAAGTTGTCCTCGTTCAGAACCAGCATCTTTTGGAGAAGAATGAGTATCAACTGCCTCAACAAGGGAATAAACAAGAGGTAGTTCTAGCAACAAATGAGGCGACAGCCAAAATAGGTGGCATTTTGTTATGTGGAAAATTGCATGTTGCAAGTTCCTCTCCTTATTTGGTTGAAAAGGAAAATCTTAGATCTCCTTAGGCCTACTTGGTTCTAGGTGTAGAGAGGTTGACTTGTGTCGACCCTTGTTCGCCGGAAGCTTTTGTCCAACCAGTCGAATAATTTATGGTTGCTTAGAGCGAATTCCATCAGTGTTCAACAGGTTTGATTCTGTATTCAGCTAACCATTGCTTCCATATTCTTCAAACTCAGACGAGTTGTGAACAACCACGAGCGTGATGTGTGTTATACTGCGCAACATTGCTTCTATCCTATTAGGGGTTTCTTTGCCTATTTGAGGATCTCACTAGTCTTCTCATGTAAGTACAAGTCTCTCTAAGAAAAAAAAAAAAAAAAGAAGAAGAAAAGAGGATTGCATTCTCAAATTGGGTTTTAGAAGAATCCTGCAATAGATTAGATAAATATCGGGTTTTATTGAGTGGAATTTTAAGCGAAATGTTATCTTATTGAGTGGATTTGACGTTCTTCTTGGTTAAATTCTTAAGTGCAGTTCTGTTCTTGGATTTAGGACTCAGCCCTTCACATCCCTAGTTCTCGTTGTTTTCTCAAACCCCGTTGTTTTCTCAAACCCCCGCAACTGTCTCGAAACCAAATAATTTTCTCCTAATTCCATTTACGCTAGGAACCCTAGGGGCATCAATGAGCGTCGGTTGGACGCAATCTTAGTAAGTCAATCATCTACTGAGATCCATCTCTTGTATCTAATGATCATAGCGATCGGAGTACACTACGTACATCAGTAATTCCTTGCTAACAAAAAAAAAAAAAAAAGAAGCTTCCTGCGTAATTTAATGCTCGATCCATTGGAAAGTTATCTCGAGAGTGAATTACTTGTTGCCCGTTGGTAGAGTGTTCTACTCTTGAATGTCTTTCTCTGTTGACCGTGAGAAAAGCCAATCCCTACACTCATGATGCTCTTGCGAACTTTTTTGTTATCTTTTGTATGTTTTGGGTTGTCACCATGAGAAATTAAATCCATAGGAAGATGATATGTGATATAATGTACATCCTTGTGCAATTGCCTATTTTAAATATTGATGGTTTAATTCTATTATAGGAAGAGTTGGATGACATTATCAGGTATGGCTCAAAAGAGCTATTTGCTGACGAGAATGATGAAGTGGGAAAGTCGCGTCAAATCCATTATGATGAGGCTGCTATCAACCGGTAAATAATTTCTAACTGCTTGTACTTGGAGCTTGGTCACAGTGAAAAAATCTAATAAACTTAAATGTGTCCTGTTTGTAGATTATTGGACCGTGAACATATTGGAGAGGAAGAGGCAACATTGGATGATGAAGAGGAAGATGGATTTCTGAAGGCATTCAAGGTCATTTTCTCAACATTATGTTATACATGCATGTTATTATGACTTATTCTTTTTCGGCCTAATCTCCTTGCTTTGAATTACTCGATAACAAGAAGAGATAATGTAAGAACAAGAAACTAATGACAAATGCTTAGTCTCATTACCAAAAGTAATTGCGATCCTTCTGCTAATTATACAAGTGACCACTTGCTGTTTGCTTATTCATCAACATATGTGCATTGTGTGGTTTATAAGAATTCTGTTACGTATGTATTCCTTGTGATATATTTCACAGTTTTGACAGACCAGACTAAAACTATGGTTTTCTATATTTGCGTTCCTTTAGATGGGTCATGATGCCCTTGGTAAGAAGAATGTTACGAGAACATAAAAAAAATTCTTCCTTTTTCTTAGTTCAACCTTTTATATATCACATTCACTTAGATCCTATTAGTTATTAGAATGACTATTTTCAAACATTTTTGGTCTGTCATTTAAATGCATCAAATTATGCTTTGCCTTGTTACTCTTGTTTTTTAGTTTCTTTGCTTTATTTTTTGATAAATGCATTGGCAAAATGGCACCAGAAACTTTCTGCTTAACCATCTGCTTAGTCTCTTATAGACTGCTTATATTCATATATTTGTCCCAGTTTCATGAAATTACTTTAATTGGTTAGTGGCTTACAATTAGGGAAATCAAAGTTCTTTTTGGCTTATAATTTACGGAAAACAATATTTTAGAACAAAAAATCAATTATTATATTTCCATATTTTTGTATCTGATAGTTGTAATGCTATTATCCTCCCAATCTTGCCGAATATCCATGCTTTGACACATCATTTATATGCCTCCAAGGTTGTGCCAGTAAGATTTGGTTGGATGTAAAATGGTCTAGGATTTGTGATTTTTCTCGTGTCTGATCCCCTTTGCTGTAGTGTTTCTTTTACTACTGGAACTTTAATTAGATGCTTGTAAAATCAGCATTTGATTCTCATAATTAGTCTTGGTAGCGACCAACATCATTTTAGTGGTTACTATAACTGAAACTACCAGAAATTTACTATTGCCATCGACTTGTTTTCTTGTTCTAGGTTGCAAACTTTGAGTATATTGAAGAAGCAGAGGAAGAAGCTCCAAAGCCCGCACCAGAGACAATGAGCAATTCTGAGAGATTGAATTTCTGGGAAGAGCTGTTAAGAGGCAAAGTCGAAGAGCAAAAGGTGGAGGAGTCTAACACTCTTGGAAAAGGGAAAAGAAGCCGCAAACAGGTGTTGTACTTTTTTCCATATTGGTTATGGAATTTGCCTCCTACCAGTATGAATGTTGCACTAATGGTGATTTGTGCTGAAATAGCGTGATGTTTGTGTTTTCTTTTTGTGAATGCATGTGCCTGTTGTCATGTACTACACTTATTACAACAATTGGTTGTGTAATTATTTTGAGGAATGTTATTAGGTTGCGTCTATTGAAGACGATGACCTTGCTGGTATGGAAGATTTAAGCTCTGATGGGGAGGACGATAACTATGAAGCAGACTTAACAGATGGAGAAAATTCGTCAGGAACTCAATCTGGGAAAAGGCCTTACAGAAAGAGAGCTCGTAGTGCCCTAACATTGTGCTCCCTCCTCTATATTAAAGTTGTGACAAAGTGTTGATCATATTATGTTCTACAATTGTTTTTTCAGGTGATAATTCTGAACCTATTCCTTTGATGGAAGGAGCAGGAAGGTCTTTCAAAGTTCTGGGTTTCAATCAAAATCACAGGGCTCTGTTTGTCCAAATAATGATGAGGTTGGGCTCACCATATCTTTTTTTTTAATGCGCAATCTCACCATATCTTTGTATTTATCGTTTGCTAGTGTTACCATTATGAATTGTTTGCTTCTTCAATTGATAACAACACTAGGAAAGTATTAGCACTCGTTTATTTTTGTATACATCTTTTGATTTTGTACACTGTCATTTCCTGCGTTTAGACGTACGAGACTATAGAACTCTATCTTTTTCCTTTTGTATCTGTAGGTAGGATAAAACAACTTTGTAACTAGTTGGTACGATTTTTTTTTTGGTTGAGTTTATCTTATGTATTTGTGTGTGTGTGTGTGTAGGTTTGGATTTGGGGATGAAAACTGGACACAGTTTGTATCTCGCATGAAACAGAAGACTTTGGAAGAAATTCACAAGTATTGAGACTCTTACTTACTATATTTCTCTATTGGAGTGATCATAGCGCCTTAGGTTTAAAAGCCTATGAAATGATAACATCAGTGACTTCTCTCTATATTCTAAATTTTGTCTCCGTTGTTCATTTGTGTGGTCATTTTCACATGAATCGGTAATATTTATGCTGCATGCTCAGTCTCTTATATGTGTGCTCCATTTCAAATCATCTATCCATGCCCTGAAACATTGTGTTTTTTTCTCTCTTTTTTCTATCCGAGCTCAGCTACGGAAAGATGTTTTTGAAACATTTGATTGAAGAAATCAACGACTTACCATACTTCTCAGGTGATTGCTCATTCTTTTACCCTTTAAATTGGCTATTGTCATTCAGTTTGTTGGCTTTATCTACTTATTGAGATTTATGATTTTTATTATAGATGGTGTTCCCAAAGAAGGACTTAGAATTGCAGACGTGCTGGTTAGAATTGCAACGTTGAATATAGTTAGGGAAAAGGTGAGTTCTCGCACCTGTTCTGTATTTTCAATTTTCATGATGGAAAGTGCTGAACTAGTAATTGTTGATGGTCCATCATAAGACATCTGAATTCAGGAAATCCACTTATCTAAATAGAAGAAACTACATATAAGCTCTTTTTTTTTAATAAATGATTTGAAAATGACAGGCTTTTCCCCCTGATCATGAGAAGTGCCTGAATTGAGTTTGTACCTTAGCTGCATATATGTTCACTTAGCTTTCTAATCACAAATCTACCGCATTATGCTTGATACATGTCCCTTTTTGTTATATTCTTGCCTTTAAGCAATGAAGAAGATCATTAATGCCACTAAACAGTTAATTGCACTATATGCACGAGACAGGATAACAGCTTATTTTCTAACATTTGAAAGAGTGTTAAACGGCAATGCAAAAGACTAACTTCCACTATGTAGCCCAAAAACCCACTGTTCAGTTTAATTTTTAACACTTTCTTGTTTGATAGGTGAGACTCGTATCAGAGAATCCGAACATGCCTCTTTTCGACGAGGAAGTTTATCCGCGTTTGCCTGGGCTGAAGGGCGGAAAATTTTGGACTGAAGCACATGATAAAGTTCTACTAAAGGCAGTAATCAAGTAAGGTCTCCTAGTGAGATACTCAACCTCGTTGATATAGCCCTATAGAGATTGTCATATTCTCAATCCAATTTTTGATATTCTGTTTTGATTTGCCCACAAATTAGTAAGATCACAGAAGTAGTTTCTAGATTCTAGTACTCAAAATATCCCTGACAAAATCATGAGTGGCTCTAGGAGCAATAACACCAGTGACTGGACCATCTTTGGAGTTCTACTGCATTTTGTTAGGACATCATGCTGATGCCTTTATTTTTTCGTACATACTGATGTCCTCTGCTTTCAGTTTCGGTTCCTCTACCAATTGATTATCCCGGACCAACCTCTTGAAATACCATTTTCTGTGCATTACGTCAAATTGAATATGAATCTGCTGGGAGTTGAGGCTTTGCCATCCTATTCAGTGGCTTGGGTTTGAAGTTCTAAATTAACTAGTGAACATTGTATTGCATACAATCGCTGATTTCAAATGTTCAGTGCCCTTTTAACCCATTGTCTGATTCTTGCACTTGTTAATTGTTTGTCCTCGCTTAAGGCAAGGGTATGGACGATGGCAAGCTATCCTTGATGACAAGGACTTAAAGATACAAGAAGTTGTATCCCAAGAGCTGAATCTTCCTGCTATAAACCTACCAACCCCTGGACAAATGGCTGCTCATGCACAAAATGGTGCTAGCTCTGGAACTGCTGAAGGTGCAGCCACCCAGCAGGCCTCAGTAAATGTTTCTGTGAATGATCTTGGTACTAATATGGCCCAGGGAACAAATCAAGGGCAGTCATACCAAGAATCAATACTATACCAGCTTAGAGATATGCAGAGAAGAATGGTTGAGTTTGTTAAGAAAAGGGTGCTTCTTCTTGAGAAAGCGATGCACGCTGAGTGTCAGAAAGAATACTTCGTAAGTTGGTTAATATTGATTAGATTATGCACGTTAGTTGTATTCGATAGTAGATGCGTATTGGAAAGGTCATGTTACGGATATAAATTTGCTTTGATTCTCATGCGCAGGCTACTCTTGATGCCAAGCCAGACGTGAAAGGGCCTAGTAGTGGAAGTAGGGGCACAAATGGTTCAGCTTTAGGTTCAGTAGGTATTGTAGTAAACAACCAACTGCCTCAAATGGAAGAAATAAGTAAGTGATTTTCTTTTGCTTTCGCTAGTTGACGCATATAATTGGGACACTTGTTACGAACTGTAGACGTTCATGGAAGAATGAAGCATTTCACCTTCCACATTTGGTCTAATATTTGCTTATATAAAGCGAGAAGAATTCTACTGACGTGGCCCCATTTTGTTCCTCTTGTAGCACCAGAAGATGTTCGCGCTGCTGGATGTGTTGATGATCCAGATCGATTGGAAATGGTTGACCTATACAACAAGGTAATTGTCCTTAGTTACATCCGAGTTTAACAACTATGTTCATGGACTAGAATCCTTTGGTAGATGATAGACGTTTTCCGGTAAATATCTTATCATATCGTTTCCATCATTCTTCTGTCCAGATGTGCAAGACGGTTGACAATGTAGTTGCTCCCGAAGTACCCGAGACATCATCAAGAAGCCGAACAGCTAATTTTGATTCGAAGCCGAACCTTCAGCCGCTGGAGACCATCTGTGAACAGATGACTCATGTCCTCTCAAACCCACAGCAGAAGAATGCAATTGCTTCTGACCAACCAATGCCAGACGCCGAGCCAAAACTACCAGAGCTGCCTCCAGGTTTCGACAGGACGGAGGTTGAATTGCAGAATCAAATCAGCTCACTGTTTGGTCCTACGCCAGAGACGCCCGATGTGGAAATGGGAGAACCATGGAGGAGCGATGCTAACCCGGGAATAGCGAGCAGCAGCAAAGCAAATGCTGCTGAGAATCAATCATCTGGTAGTGCGTTCGTCGCCTCGGACGATTGAGAAACTCAGACTCCAGGACAGGCTCATTCTGTTTATTTTTTATTTTTATGTCATGATTGTGCTGTTCTTAACAAGTAGCTGATAGGAATTACCATAGAAACTTGGGGTAGGGGGTAGCTGATGTAAGACAGTGATCAGTTAATTCTTAGCAGAGCAGTAAACTAAGTTTTACAGAACGATTTGATGAGAAGTCAGACAGTTAACAGAAACTTGCTTGTCTTATAACCTTTTTCATTGTCCTATAAAGTTCGCTTATGCGTTTCCTATCACTACTCGAATCATAATTACAGCTAATCATTGGAGGATTAAGGTACAATATCATTATAAGAAAATTGTTGAGCTTTCTAATCTAAACGATATATAAGTTCATGTATTTATTTTCCTCCATTTTTCAAATGCTACAACGCGACTGCGAGAGTGATTCAAGAAGGGATGAATTAGATTCTTCATAATTAAAATTAAAAATTTAAATATAAAATTTTTAGACAATAATAGAGCTCCATATGTCACGCTCTCCCTTTTTCTGTCTTTCTTCCTCAGTAATTTTAACCCACCCATATTTCCTTCATGTCGACTCATTCAAATATTTCTCTCAGAGAATTTAATTTGATGAAATCTATAAAACGATACCCACTTTGTATATTTTGAAATAAAGTATCTCATGTCATGACGTAAATGCACATACGATTTATCATGTACCACAATAGCACCAGAACCAATCACGTTTGACTAATTGTGGTACGATTACATTGGCAAATTTTTTTGATCGTGTAAATTATTAGCAAGTTTGGTTTAAGTGACGAATTTGGTCATAAACTCTTCTAACTAGGATAATTCATTGATCAAATTTCATTTATGGCAAAGGCGCACCATCTCAAACTACCTCCTAGCATATGCAATAGGCGTCAAACTACACGGGTTGATTAAGTCAAACCCATAACCGTTCATTCGACTCGGTGCACTAACGGAAATTAAATTAACATGCTCATGTGATTGTTGTTTCATAATAATATGCAATGCTACATGGAATGGAGAACTTTAGAAGGGAAGAGCAAATAATCATGCCACTCACCTAAGGGTTATGGATAGCTAGACAATCTATTTTTCTCATATGAAATTTTCGAGCTTAGTTTAAGAAAGGTTTATAAAGTATTAAGTAACAAAGATCCATGAAATTATGGAAAACTTGTCAATAATGTTAACTTTATTGCGAGAGGTTGGTCTAATATTTTGATCATTTGGAGAAAAGAATTGAAATATTGAGAAGATGTAGTTATAATTACTTATATATTTATGCGGTTGACAGTTCAGAATCGATATTGAATAACATTTTTTATAAAAAAATTATTTGTGACATTCTTTAATTTTTGGCACATCATTAGGGTGAGTATCACTTATAAAAGTATGTAACTCTTTTAGGGTGAGTGACCATATAAAATAAAAATGGTTGACATTTCACTTATTAAATTAAGTTCTTGCGACCAACATGTCGAATCTTAATCTATTAATGATTATATCTAGAGTTTGATTTTCATCCCAAACTATACAATTCATAATAATTTTGAAGAATTAATTCGAGTTGTTGAGAGATAAAATTAAATCTTAATATAACTTCTTTACATTTTTACTCCAAAATACTGGTTCATAAATAAATTGTTATTATTGAGAACCCGTTTGTCTGCATAATTAGATTCTACAGTTAATTGACAGAGGTAAGAAAGGAGATCATATCCCGCAACACCTACTAAATAGCAATGGCTACACTTTATTGCAGAATAGGTAATGATTTCCATTACTGTTCTTACGAAAATTTCTACTCTGGCTCTAATAAGGTAAAACTTAAAACAGAGGCGATGAGGCGAAACAATAGGAAGTGAAAAACAAAGACCAGACCACATAAACCTTGCTGTAATTCTCTATAGAAGAGGAAAAAAAGGGTACAATGGTGGTGCATACATGGAACTGAGAATTCCACAAAGAGAAGAGAAACCCTTCTTCCTCCACTGTTGCATGATGCCTCATAAGAATCTATGTTATATGCATGCCTGCTGCTTACTTACTGTCAAGAAAAGACTTTTCTCCTTGATTTAGTCTCACCTAGTCCATTCCTGCACGCACCACCATCCCGCCAAAAAAAAAAAAAAAAACAGTCAAAGTTGGTCAGATGATGTTCTGTTGAACTTACATAGCTAGTTTGTGTGTCATGTAAAGATCTTAAACAACAGAACTTACCCGAGTGACCATAAACCCGGCTACATCTTCCAAGGAGCCGAAGTTACTGTGACCCGTCTGCAAATTATGCTGTTGGTTTGACTGGCGTGCAATCGACACCCCAGGTATCTCCACTGAAAGACCATTATGCTTCACCAACGAGGCATCGACGAAATTTGATTGTGTAGTTGAACTGAAGCTCGGAGTTCTCATCAAGCTTGCATTGTTTGCATCCCATCTCTGGTTAGTCATATCCACCCCACCATTATCTTGAATCGACAAGGTCGCTGAACTCGACCCCACATTATTTAAGTGGTTATACGATGGTGCACCCAATCTATCCCAGCCCTGCTGTGGAGCATTACTAATCATTTGCGCACCATTACTGCTAGCTGATGCCACCCGGCATCCTAAGTCTGCTTTTGCGCCCTGCAAAAGAATGGGCAGTGAAGAGCGAGAAGACACATCAAAATGATCAAGAAACAAGGTTGTGCTGCCGGTGGAATGAGCAGCAGCATTTGACCAGTTCTCATTGCATCGACCATGGTCAAGAAACAAGGGCTTTTCTGAAGCCCCTCCAACAAAAGAACCATTCGAGCCGCCGCCAGCAACCATACTCATGTCGGGAGGGAAAGCAGTTGTAGTAGTTTCAACAGTGGGAGGAATCGGTTGCCTAATGTAATTAAGCCCCTTGTTATTAGACTGTATTTGATTTAGTTCTAATGAAACAGGCATCCCTTGTAGAAAATTTGCATTGCTTATTGCCGACTGGAACTGTCTCTGATTAGTAGTCAAATGGCTTCTGCCACCCTGTACATGGGCTGCTACTTGCACTATTCCAGAAGAAGGAAGACCATGAATGCTCATGCCAGCTGGTGAATTCAACCTCCCTAGCATGCCATTTGAAGTTACCGATCTGTAACCTGCTCCATTCTGAAACCCATTTCCAGCAATGTTATGTAGCCCAAGTCCAGTCAGAGAACCACCCATTTGCAAATATGAAGCATCATTGCTGACTAAAGCTGCTGCCATGTTAGCATGCTGGTTCGCCACTGTACTGATCCTTCTGAGGTAAAGCCTATATTTCTGCAGCCACAAACAAAAAATGGAGCAAGCAAACTATTCAGAGGTTGTTTGCTGCAGTTCTAAACCAGTACAGGGAGAGATTGGGAAGCATTATACATATACCTGAAGGTGACTGGCCACATTTTCTCTTGACAGCTTCTCGACATTCATCAGTTCCAGGATCTTCTTCGGCACAGCCTCTACCAAGAGGAACAGAGAGAAACAAGAAACTAAGAAACGCAAACTTTGAAAAGGGTTATACTTGACAGGTTAGATCAAAGCTAGATACATACTGTCGATGCCCAAGTGATTGACAGCAGAGACAAACTTGCGATGCAGCTCCACAGACCAAACAACGCGGGGTTTCTTCTGGCTTGTGGGGTCGTCATTGTCATTTCCATTCTCATCAGGGTCATCATCTTCTTCATCATTTTGGTCCTTTCGTTTCTTGTTCAGTTTGTGGTCTGAAGTAGCTTCACCACTCTGAGAATGAGGCTTGTCAACGTTGTTCTTGTTATCGGGCTTCTTCTTCCTAACAACATGTTGCCATATGTTCTTGAGCTCCTCAATCCGAATTGGCTTCAGCAGGTAATCACAAGCACCATGAGTAATCCCCTTCATCACCACCTTCGGATCACTGTTCGCTGACAACACTGCAATCAACAACACATTTCCAAAAATTAGCAAATGGAACCAACAACATTTAACTAGCAGTTGAAGCAATAAGAACTTGAGTAGGCATTGAGATTTTACTTATGACAGGGAGATCCATTTCAAGCCCAACTTTCTCGAGCAAATGGAAACCGTCCATATCTGGCATATGAACATCACTGATAACAAGGTCAAAGTCGTTCCTCCTTTCTCTCAAAATCTTCAATGCCATCCTTGCCTGGCTTGTGGTGGTCACTGCAGAAAATAAAACAAAATAGACCATCAAAACCCATATGAATCTGGCAATCAATTCCTCTCCCATGGTACTAACAATCGCAAAAATTAAGTAAAGCACAACACGAGGAGCCATCATGAGAGTTTAAACAGATCCATGAGATCCAATGATTCAGCGAAACAGGTCAACGCAGTCTCAACAACTGCTCATGATTGGAAGTACACATCAACCATAATTATCTTTCAAAAGTAATCATCTTTCCAAGGGACCAACAAGGCAATCAATCAAAAGAAATTCCCCCTCGTATGACAAAAGCTAACACCGAAAGGAAGACCTCAATTAAATGAAGTCAACGGATCACAAAGATGTCAAATTTACCATTACCATCAGCAGAAAAAAGGGGGAAAAGGCCAGACCCTCTAAAGAGCAAAACATCAAGGAGCAAAACCCACCAATTAAAACAGAAACTTCATAAAAATCACAGAAGAAACTGAGAAGGGAAAGAAAGAAGACCATGATATTGGCATTTGCGAAGCAGGGTTTCCAGAACCATAAGGCAAGTTAGGTCATCGTCGACAGCCAAAACCCGCATGCCAATGGGGAACTGGTCCTGATTCCCTCCAACTCCTTGCTCCACAGTCATTTTTTGGACTCAACACAAACAGAACCCACGGAAACAGAAAACAACTGGGGAGAGAGAGAGGTTGAGGGGAAAAGGTGAAGTGAGACAAAGAGAGCGGAAGACGGCGTTGACACTGTTGCGATTGTTGGGTTTAATGCTCGTGAAGGATTGGGAGGCAGGGCTAGGAAAATGGGAAGGAAGGAAGGAAAGGAAGCA